GAGATTTCTGTTCTCATTGAGCTCACCTTACACACCTGTGTTATCATTTAACAGATGTGCCGCCTCAGCCAAACTCACACTGACGATGTCTTCCACGTAGCTCACCAGGCAAAAGCCCCAAGGTTTACAACTAGAACTGAGCGACCGCGAGGCCACACAGATGCTACATCATGGGTATAAGTAAAACAACATTGAGAGTAGTGGTATTTCACAGACGGCAGAGCCTCCCACTTATTCTACACCTCCCAAGTCATTTCACAACGTCAGACTAGAGTCAAGCTCAACAGGGTCTTCTTTCCCCGCTGATTATTCCAAGCCCGTTCCCTTGGCTGTGGGTTCGCTAGACAGTAGATAGGGACAGTGGGAATCTCATTAATCCATTCATGCGCGTCACTAGTTAGATGACGAGGCATTTGGCTACCTTAAGAGAGTCATAGTTACTCCCGCCGTTTACCCGCGCTTGGTTGAATCTCTTCACTTTGACATTCAGAGCACTGGGCAGAAATCACATTGTGTCAACACCGTCTCCGGCCATCACAATGCTTTGTTTTAATTAAACAGTCGGATTCCCCTTGTCCGCTCCAGTTCTGAGCCGGTTGTTCAACGCACTAAGGAAACAGCAGCCAGCCCGAAAGCCAACTACCTTTCTCTCCGGCACAACAAGAGCAGCCCGACCGCCAGGCCGCATCCGGTCCCCGAAAGGTCCAGACGCAGCCCAACGTAGGCCGCCACAAGCTTCTCCAAAAAGACCCCTAGGCCCAACCCTCAGAGCCAATCCTCTCCCGAAGTTACGGATCTATTTGCCGACTTCCCTTATCTACATTCTTCTATCACTAGAGGCTGCTAACCTTGGAGACCTGATGCGGTTATGAGTACGAACGAGGGTGCGAATAAATCTCTAGCCAGGATTTTCAAGGGCTGTCGTGGGCGCGCAGGACACTTCAAAAAGTAAAGTGCTTTGCCAAGGCATCCTCCTTATCGCCGGATAATCCGTTTCCAAGGTAGGATATGCTTGTTAAAAAGAAAAGAGAACTCTTCCCTGGGCACACGCTAGCGTCTCCTGGGTCGGTTGTGTTACCACATATTATCCACGTCTCGGTTCAGGAATATTAACCTGATTCCCTTTCGATACACGAGGCTGCATACAAAACGCAAGGACGAACCCCACGCCTCAAACAGCCCAGCTTTCAAACGGAATTATCCTATCTCTTAGGATCGACTCACCCGTGTCCAATTACTGATCACACGGAACCTTTCTCCACTTCAGTCTTCAAAGTTCGCATTTGAATATTTGCTACTACCACCAAGATCTGCACTAAAGGCCGTTTCACTCAGGCTCACGCCACGAGCTTCTTCACGACCTTCACGCCCTCCTACTCATTAACGCGTACATTATAAATGCTATCGCGCTAACGGCAAAGTATAAGTAGCCCGCTTTAGCGCCATCCATTTTCAGGGCTAGTCATTACCGCCAGTCCCAAGGCCAAGTGCAATCTCAAGCACGAGGAGACGTTGACGGAGGCGGTCAACCTCAGGGTCCCGTGTCGGACCCGCAGTCGGAGCACTCGAACGAGAGTGGCTCTCGGGAGGCGCCGAGTACTCGTACTCGTACGAGGGCACCTCCGCCCCTGCTTGACCGGAATGGAGAAGTCCACTTCCACGTGGAGCGGATCCTCCAGGAGCAACGGTGTCGCGGGAAGCGACAGCTCCTCGTGAAGTGGAGGGGTTATGCCCACTCCGAGAACTCGTGGGAGCCGATTGAACGGCTCCTGATTGACTGCCCGAAGGCTGTCGCAATCTGGGAACAGAAGCGGCGGCAGCTTCATAAGTAGTCCGGGGCTTCTTGCCCGAACGGGGTACGGATGATGAATACATACCGTACCCGCGCTCATCGTGAGCGCTAGAAGCCGCGCGCTTCAGGATGTCCCTTGGCAGCATACGCTTGCTGATCAAGTGGGCAAACCTCACACGAAGATCACGCTGGTCCAGGATGTGGGACAGCTGCTGATCTTCATGGAGTTCCCATAACTCCGTGGGCGAGTACTTGAGAGTCTCCACCCACGCCCAGAACATGTCCTCACAAGAACTCCATGTGGGACAGTTCTCGAACATAACCCAGGGGTATCCCCAAACAGGATAGAGACCACCCCGGGTCTCGGGCTTCTTACGACAAGTCGTGAAGTCCTTAAGGGGAATGCGGTGTGGCGCGAGAAGCACACACCGAGCAGCCTCCACGTTGTCGACGAACAACTGTTCTTTCTGAACAAGGGCTCGTTCATAGATGCCCCTAGAAGTGTGGCCGCCCACAAGGCCACGAGGAGCGACAAGAAGCTCTAAGAAGAGGTCAGCCCCAGAGCTCTCCTCGGGAGGCCAATACCCTCTTGAGTTGATGGCAGCTCCCTGGCTGACGGGTGCCGCCACCGAACCCCCACGCACACGCTGGGCAGCTTGGAAATCCTCCTGCTGCTGGTCGAGGTCATTCGAGACCTCCCGGGGCTCAGCAATGGCACCCTCCTCTTCCTCTTCTTCCTCCTTCTCCTCCTCTTCATTCGAGGAGCCGAAGAGACTCTGATAGGAGCGTCGAGTCTCCTTCTCCTCGCGGAGTGGAGACTTAGAGGCGGTACGCTTCTTTGAGGGCTTGGCGCCTTCGGCTTTAGAGGCCTTAGCGCGCGCAAGACCCTCGGCAAGCGAGAGTCGTTTGCGAGGACTCCCTTCCTCATCGCCACCGGCTTTGGGAGTGCCCTTAGCCTTAACGGCCGGACTCTCAGAGCGCACAGAGGTCCTGGGACTGTGATCACCGTGATCACTAGCGGACGACTGCACGCTGTCTTCTTTGTGCTCACTGGGCACTGGGCTGTGTCCTCCCACAGAGCCCGCAGGAGCATCATGAGTGCTCTCGAACTCGGCATCGTCCTCACTGCCCGAGTTGAACTCATGTTCTACGAACCGAGGGTTCGGACGATTGTCTGAAGACGAGGGCGACGGACTGCGGCGCCTGCTTGCGCGCTTGTCCGCAGCCGCGTCACCCGAGGATCCGATCGCCTCGGAGGCCACCTGAGTAGCCTCCTTGAGTGCAGAGCCTTTGCCGTGAGGCTTAGTGCTCTTGGCCTGCGCCTTACCGGCTGCAGCCTTGGAGCGTGTCTTAGCACCGCTCTTAGCAGTGCCACGAGGCATGTTAACGGTCGAAGTGGAGACCTTGACGAAGAGCGCACAGGTTGCTGCTCGAGGCTCTAACTGTAAAGTGAGCCTCCGCCGCGCTCGCGCGGCCGAGTCGATGGTTTTCGACTTTGAGAATGAGAGTTTGTGACGAACATCTCTTCATTTTGATTGGTCGGTAAACCGAACCTAAGTGGGGGAGGATGTAACGGGGTACGTAGCACTAAGTGTACCCTGGTTACATGAAGTGTGACACTTCACACTTCAGGAGTATGACATGTCATACTCCGGGATATTTGGTACAAGGTACCAAGGTCATTCAAAACCAACCATTGGTTAAATGACATCGCATTTCTATAGGTAACTGATAGTTTGTGTGACGGGGTCACACAGCACCTTGCGCTAGAGGAAGTTATATACAAACTCTCAGTGGAA